AAATTAGCCAATGTGGGACTTTCATCATCCAACACCTCCCCTCGAACAAATCACGCCTCCCCTTAATCGAGGCTCGACTCCTTTGGAGTCTTAGTCATTTTTGACTGCCTTCGTACCTTCGAGGAGGCTCCCCTTAATCGAGGCTCGACTCCTTTGGAGTCTTAGTCATTTTTGACTGCCTTCGTACCTTCGAGGAGGCTTGACTCCTTTTGGAGTCCTTTGTTCGACATTTTAGGATTTGCCAATCTATTGGCACGGCTAAGTTTAGGGCATGGCTCTGATACCATGTTAGACGAACACGACTCTCCACAATGGTATGATATTGTCCACTTTGAGCATAAGCTCTCATGGCTTTGCTTTGGGCTTCCCAAAAGGCCTCATACCAATGGAGAGTGTATTCTTAGATTATAAACCCATGACCATTCCCNAAATTAACCGATGTGGGACTTTCATCATCCAACATGTTAGACGAACACGACTCTCCACAATGGTATGATATTGTCCACTTTGAGCATAAGCTCTCATGGCTTTGCTTTGGGCTTCCCACAAGGCCTCATACCAATGGAGAGTGTATTCTTAGATTATAAACCCATGACCATTCCCTAAATTAACCGATGTGGGACTTTCATCATCCAACACCTCCCCTCGAACAAAGCACGCCTCCCCTTAATCGAGGCTCGACTCCTTTGGAGTCTTAGTCATTTTTGACTGCCTTCGTACCTTCGAGGAGGCTTGACTCCTTTTTTCTTTTTGGAGTCCTTTGTTCGACATTCGAGGATTTGCCAATCTATTGGCACGACTAAGTTTAGGGCATGGCTCTGATACCATGTTAGACGAACACGACTCTCCACAATGGTATGATATTGTCCACTTTGAGCATAAGCTCTCATGGCTTTGCTTTGGGCTTCCCAAAAGGTGTCCACTTTGAGCATAAGCTCTCATGGCTTTGCTTTGGGCTTCCCAAAAGGCCTCATACCAATGAAGTTAGTATTCCTCACTTATAAACCCATGATCCATGATCATTCCCTAAATTAGCCGATGTGGGACTTTCATCATCCAACACTTCCCCTCGAACAAAGCACGCCTCCCCTTAATCGAGGCTCGACTCCTTTGGAGTCTTCCCCTCGAACAAAGCACGCCTCCCCTTAATCGAGGCTCGACTCCTTTGGAGTCTTAGTCATTTTTGACTGCCTTTGTACCTTCGAGGAGGCTTACTTTCATCATCCAACACGTCCCCTCGAACAAAGCACGCCTCCCCTTAATCGAGGCTCGACTCCTTTGGAGTCTTAGTCATTTTTGACTGCCTTTGTACCTTCGAGGAGGCTTGACTCCTTTTTTCTTTTTGGAGTCCTTTGTTCGACATTTGAGGATTTGCCAATCTATTGGCACGGCTAAGTTTAGGGCATGGCTCTGATACCATGTTAGACGAACACGACTCTCCACAATGGTATGATATTGTCCACTTTGAGCATAAGCTCTCATGGCTTTGCTTTGGGCTTCCCAAAAGGCCTCGTACTAATGGAGTTAGTATTCCTCACTTATAAACCCATGATCATTCCCTAAATTAGCCAATGTGGGACTTTCATCATCCAACAGAATCCAACTAACTTCTTAGTGGTGTGAGATCCGAAGCTGGTTGGGAGAAGAATGAAACATTCTTTATAAGAGTGTAGAAACCTCTCTCTAGCAGAGCATTTAAAAAACCTTGAGGAGAAGCCCGAAAGGGAAGAATTAAAGAGGACAATATCTGCTAGCGGTGGGCTTGAACTCTTACAAATGGCATCAGAGCCAGACACGTGGCAATGTGCCAACAAGGAGGTTGAGCCCCAAAATGGGGTGGACACAAGGCAAGGGTGTGATATTGGAAAAGCTGACAGATAAGTCACCCTTACTGCCTGCCACTCGACAGAACCGTACATGAGATTCTCATACGGCTCGAGTTTCGCTCCAGAAATAAGGTCAGGTCATAGATGTTGTTCTTCTTGTTGTTCGTCACGTTAGATTAGCCAGCCTAGCAAGGACACTGGGCCCCGAATGTGTGTGGATTTGGAGGTGGTCTCACATAGATTGAAGAAGGGAACGTGCCAACGAGGACACTAAGCCCCAACGGGGGTGAATTGTGAGATCGCACATCAATTGGGGAGGAGAACGAAACATCTTATAGGTGTGGAAACCTCTTGATGCGTTTTAAAAATCTTAAGAGGAAGTTTGGAAAAGTCCAAATAGGACAGTACTAAGGGTGGACTTTTAGAGGGGAACATTTCAGTGTTAATTTTAAGCTGAATCTTTGTTTTTGTTGAAGTCATCGTTTCTATGGGGATACATATTCTCATCGGTGGTTGGAGGAGCATTGGTGGACAGATATGGAGGAAAGCGAGTGATGGCATGGGGAGTGGCCCTTTGGTCGCTTGCCACTCTTCTTACTCCATTGGCGGCCAACCACTCAACAACCAGTCTCTTGGCTGTTCGTGCTTTCTTTGGACTTGCTGAAGGTGTCGCGATGCCATCAATGAGTACCCTCTTGTCGAGGTCACACCCCATTTGCCAACCATAAAAAAATGATTCTTTATGATTCCCTCACTCCAACTCCCCAACTTAGCTTTGAAATTTGTCGTTGTTTAAGCAGGTGGTTCCCCAGCCATGAACGAGCTAGTGCAGTTGGGATGTCAATGGCTGGCTTTCATCTTGGAAATGTTGTAGGATTGCTATTAACTCCCATCATGCTGTCCTCCATTGGTGTCACTGGTCCCTTCTTGTTATTCTCGTCACTTGGGCTTGTCTGGTTGATGTCATGGATTCCAGGAGTCACAAACAACCCCCGACAGAGTCAAAACATCAGCACATTGGAGCTGCGGTTAATCGAAGCTGGGAAAGTTGATTCTTCTCCTCAAAATGTCAAACACCTACCTCTTAGCCGCCTTCTCTCCAAGTTACCAACATGGGCTATCATATTCGCCAATATGACTAACAATTGGGTGAGTTTTTCTTTTCTTTTGTGTTTGAATGGGAAGTTTGCACAATGCTGATTCGTGTCGCTGGTACTTTCGTCTTACAGGGATATTTTGTTCTTCTCTCGTGGATGCCAGTTTATTTCAAGACTGTAAGTAACCGGATAATTGTAACGGCCTAAGCTCCTTTGGACTTTCCCTGTTTTTAAAAGGTGTTTCGTTCTCCTCTCCCATCGATATGGGATCTTATAATTATTGGGTTGATGTAGGTGTTTAATGTGAACTTGAAGCAAGCGGCATGGTTTAGCGCCATTCCATGGGGAACAATGGCAGTGTCTGGCTACTTTGCAGGCACGACGTCGGATGCTCTAATCAAAGCACGCTACCCCGTGACATTAGTCCGGAAGATCATGCAGGTTTTGATTCATTTTTTCCATCTAGCAGCTTAAGAATGTATGTGGTTCAATCGCTGATTCAATGACATTGGTGCTCAACAGTCGATTGGTTTCATTGGACCTGGATTAGCATTACTTTGTTTGAACCTTGCAACCACGCCAACCATTGCAGCAGTTTTGATGACAGTAGCATTGAGCTTGAGCTCATTCAGCCAAGCGGGGTTTCTCCTAAATATGCAAGTAAGTTCTTAAAGCCCTTCATATAGAATTGTTTGAAGTGATTCAAACTTCAACACTGATGAACTCTGTTCGTTTCTGGGTTCAATCAGGACATAGCGCCTCAACATGCAGGCTTTCTCCACGGTAAGCTTCTCGAGTCTTCTCATAAAACAGGAAATTTCATTTGGTTTTCATTGACATGATCGAACTTCTGTTGAGGTGCAGGGATTTCGAACTCGGCAGGGACATTAGCAGCGATTGTGAGCACGATTGGAACAGGGTATTTTGTGCAGTGGCTTGGCTCATTCCAGGCGTTCTTGACCGTTACAGCGACGATTTACTTCATGGCAGCCATTTTCTGGAATCTGTTTGCTACAGGGGAGCAAGTCTTTTAGCCTCATCATCTGTTTCAGAAATCTTATGAGCTCTGCTGAAGCCTGTGTGGAATGGGAAGAGAGGAGATGAACGTGGTGGAAGCATTTTATTTTATTTATTTATTTTTTTTTTTTTGAAAGCTAGAAATTAGCTTGTAAAGATACACAAGGATGGAGACGAATATGCAAACCATCGTATAGTTCATCAATCAAAATCAAAATACACGTGTAGCCCTATAAACAGTTTAGTTTCAATAGAAAGTCCCCTACTTTAAAGAGCTTCACATTAATACCTCTTTGTCATATTCTCAGTTACAAAAGGGGTTAAGCACCTTCTAAGTTGGTGTTCGATATCCTTATCACAATTTTAAGGGTTAATAGGGGGTGCTATGACGTAATAGAAACCAAAGAGGTATACGTGCCACTAAGCTCATGGAACTAGCTATTTTTCTCCTGCAACAATGTTTTTGGTTATATGTGGCGGCCATGGTACAGAGGCGACGACAACAGCGAGCGATACGGTGAGGTAATGATGGTGGGGCTATACCTGAACAGCAGACGTGGTAGCTGCAACGACAACGACAATGGTTCGACAGCTGGGACATAGGCGTGCAACTGGAAAAGAAACGACGATAGGTGACGTTGGCTGCAGTTGGAAGGCAAAGTAAGAGGGTCAACAACATCGTGCTTGAGGAGAGAAAACAAAAGAAAAATGTGCAGATGGACAAGATTGTTAGTCTCACATCGACTGATTAAGGAGAAGATCATGAATAGATTAAGGAGAGACACTATCTTCGACTAGCAAATTTCATCCCTAAAATATCAATTAAATTAAAATTTATCTAATCATATATTAAAAAATTACAAATTATTAATTGATGTATTCCATCCCTCAATTTTTTTTTTTTTTTAATAGATTACATAATTAAAAGTATATAAAATTTAATGTTAATTTATTCCTTCCACTTGTAAAAATCATTAAAATTTGTCAATCACGACTTGTATTCTATATATTTTTGGGAATTATAAGGTATAAAGTGGGTTGAACTTTGTATGATCCCAAATTGCCTGAGACAGATCCAATCTAAACCCTACATTTCCATTTTGTAACGATCCCAGGCGCAAAAATCTTTTTGCCGACATCTCGCATCATGGATTCCATTCAAACAAACTTCAAGTCTCCGGACATTTATGGATTCAAGAGTTTCATGCTCTTCATATAAGGTGCGTAATTCCGTCGGTTGCGTGCGCGAATTGAACGAGGCCCCCTAATCCATCTTCCATTTTTCTCCCATCACCCCAGGTCAAATGAATCCATCTTCACCAACTTGAAGAACTTTGATTCTCTCAACCTATTTGTCTCAATTAGGTTTTCAACTCCGATCGTCTGGAGTCTATATTCTGACCCGGATTTGAAATTCTTCAACTGGATTTCGTAATCAATTTCTGATTTTCGCATTTCGCCTCGGAATTTATGAATTTCAGAAGTTTGGATGAGTTCTGGGTTTTCTATATGAACCAGCACTCAAAACCCTCGACGAGACGATGGCACTTTATTGGAACTCTCTCTTCTATCTTCTTCTTTCTTTGCTCTTTACTGTTTAGCTGGTGGTTCCTGTTCTTTGTGCCTTTGACTGGATATGGATTCGCGTGGTACAGCCATTTCTTCGTCGAGGAAAATGTTCCTGCTTCCTTCGGTCATCCATTTTGGTCTCTTCTTTGTGATTTCAAGATGTTTGGATTGATGCTTACTGGGAATATGGACAGGGAAATCAAGAGGCTGGGGAAAAGACCTGTGTTGCAGGCGTTCTAATTCTAATGTAAGCTTCTCCATTCTTCCACTACATTTTCTTGAGAATAGTTTGATGATTGGCAATTTACTATACTTTCTGGCTGGATTGGATAATATCTGCTATAATATAAATCAAGCTAAACCTAAAATATGTGCATAGCTCTAATCAATCTTCGCAGTTTTAGTCTTTAAATTTGAAGATTACTAAGTTCATGGCAAGTTTATTAGATTAACCAACTCTGTACTTATTTATTCTCCAAGCTTGATTGAAATGGGCCCGTCTTCAAAGTTTTGGTAGAATTTGTTCGTATATTTTACAGCAGTTTCTATAGAACATTGTTCAAATGGCAGAAGATTTTGCAGCTGCAGAACTGTTCTGTTCTCTGCGTGGTATTATGAAATCATGAATGAACTGATCTGTTCGTCGTTTTTATCTGCCAGAATTTGATGTGATAAGGATTACCAAAGTTGTTTTTGCTTTCCTGTTGGAGAATCAGCTCATTCCAGCATCTTTTTCTCTCCACATGTACTATCCTTCCTCACACAAGATTGTTCCAGCTACAAGTTTTAATATCAATGTTGTATGTTTCTTGTGCTGCTTTGGATGGATGGTTTGAAGCCATTTTGTTTCCCACAAGATTAGAATTCTCTACAGATCAATCAATTCTCATCCTCAGGTTGGGCTGCTTAGTTTGGAAAGAACTCATTTGAAGGCCAGGCCACTGATGCTCGGTTATGCAATTTACTTCCAAATTTGATTCTCTAACTTGGCTTACAATCTGCAGTCATGTATCTATATGGTGTTCTGTAAACTGTTTATGTTTATCTTGTACAATGAAGTTCATCAACAAAGTTACACTTTTTCCAATATATGCTGAGTTAGTTCTCCACCTGCATCTCCTAATCCAATCCATGTTAAGTTGATTCTTTTGGCAGCAGATTTAATAGTTCCAGGAAGAAGATTGATGAAAACAAACAAGTCAGCTCGGGTTCACAATCGGAATCTTATGTGATTCTCTCAGACACTTCGTAGATTATTTCTGTTAAGGATATTTAGTAATAAATTATAGTTTACCATATATATTATATTTGATATTTTATTATAAGGAAAATATTAGATATTTGCCTTATTATCATAGGTATCTTTCCATTTATTGTTATTTCCATTTATTACTATTTTCATATCCTTATAATTTATTTGATTATAAATAAGATAACTTTCACATCATTTAGGTGGAGTGGATTAATCAAACATTCACATGGTATCAGAGCCCTCTCGGTTTAACAACCCCGATCTTTTCTTTTCAATGGCTTTTGAATCCTCTAATCTTCTTCTTCACCACCCCTGCTGGTTTTGACGCCGTAGGGGCAGTCTTCATGGCTGCCGTAGTCGGAGCCGATTGATTACTCTTCGGCTCCACCCTATTGACCTCCAAATCACCTTTCGTCATACTTTGTTCATACAAACCTCACCTTTTCCAACCCAATCGGTTTTCCCCTTGGCCAATATAGTCTCTCTCATTTTCTTCCCAATCAACCTTCATCCTTCACATAAACTCTAACCTAAACCTATCAACCTTTTGCAGAGATTTACCTTCGGAATCTGGGTGCCGCACTGGCCTATTTGCCAACCAAGTTGTCGCCGCCCTTCCTGCCAAAATTGGCTTCTTCGCCCGATGAGGCGACTCTTTCGACTACCCTTCTCGCCAAAATTGGCTCCTTCGCCCAATGTGGCGACTCTTCCGGCTTCAACATTGTCTTTGTCTCTTGCTCTAGGTTTCCCCTTCTACTTCT